ATAAATATATTTAAAAACTCTTTTGTTTAACAACACATTATGATAGGTTAAAGCACAAGTAGGTTCTCTGGTGTTAAATTTCCAAAACAATTAAAAATCAGTTACACAGAGAATATTATTTAACAATTGATCACCGCAACAAAATTGTTTTAGTTATTCTCTTCAGAAAAGTGCTACTACAAAAAATATTCTAATAAATATATTTAAAAACTCTTTTGTTTAACAACACATTATGATAGCCTAATGTATCCTGAAGAATGCAATTCTTGTTAGGTTTTCAATATTTATTCATTAGATCATTTTCTCACCATAGTAAGGCTCAAAAGTTTCTGGAGGTCCTGCAAAAAATTCTTCTAGTTTGAAATCATTTGGCCCTTTCAATGTAAAACCATAACCTTTTGCGTGCCAGCCTTTCCTCCACAGCACATATTCTGAAAAACCTCCCGGTCCCGCACATACGTCAGCAAAATACAACAGTTCATTACTTAAAATGAGGGAGTTCTAGCAAAATAGAGACAAAAATTGTGTTTAAATTTGTTCAGTATGACTTAACTCAAATAGATCAAACTATGTATAGTTAACCTGCTTTTATCCTTGCATAGTTTACAAAGAAACATCATAACACTTGAATAATATACTTTTCTCCTCATGATATACATACATGGTTGCTTACAAGGAACTGTAATTGTCAAAATGTTATGTACTTTATAGTATAAATATGTCATCAAAAATTATGTATATTAAAATGATACAAGTTTAACAAGACTCAACTTTGTGAATCAAAAATTAAAGACTGCAAGGTTTGTGATCAAATTCCTTCGTATGATCATTACATTTCAAAACCTTACACTTGGATATCTGAGTTTCTCTCTCTCAAGTTGCCCATACAACCAATAATACATATGATATCTTTTGTTTTAAATGAAGGATATGACAAAAGTTATTTGAAACTAGACCACCATGACCAGTTGGGTCAACCAGTATTAAGAGGTTATGAAGAATTCAAGCTAATTTCAATATTGCACCGAAATAAAGGTTTATTTTAAGATAATTTAATAAATAGTTCAATCCATTCGTGTTATTCATAATTCAAGAAAAGATATTGATTGTTGATTGGGAGTAAAAGGAAAGACCATTTCATTTTTCAAAAAAGTGAGGTAAGAAGTTTCGTAAAGAGCACGACCGGTAGTGTGAATGATTTTTTTGACTGAGAAAATAACCAAAAAAACAAACAAACAATCTCAGAATTTTAGTAGTATATAGACAAATTCTTCAAGATCTTGTTTTTGTCATCTTACGCCTTTTAATAAAGATGGGAACATTGACAGGGAAACAATATAATAGCTAATGCTCGGCGAGAGGTTTTCATTTATAAAATTTTGTTGTTGTTCTCAACTTGATTTTTATTTAATTACCTCATCTCCACAGTTACTATTTGCAAATAGTCAATAATATTGTAGGTCCATTTTATTGTTGTTCTTTCTACCCGCTGTTATAACACACTTTCATCTCATCATTTAATTTCTGTTGTGCATATATTGTTGTATAGAAGAGATCTTAAAGTGATTCATCAGGTGGAAAACGAATAGATAGATAGATAAACCGATGTGGCGCCATCTAGTGTACCTAAATTCATCTAGAAATTTTCATAAAAGTGACCCAAAAAATGGTCCTAACTCAGTAACCTGTGGCTCGATTGTAACGAAACTTGTTTTATTCTGTTTTTATACTCATTTCATTACAAATATGGTGGTATTGTGCACCGTTTTTGCTGTATTTAATTACAGACAAGCAAACAAACAATCTCAGAGTTTTAGTAGTATATAGATGTTGAATTTGGTAAGAATAGTACTGACCCAATTCATTCTTACAATTGTGAACACTATGATGGAAGTGGTGACTACAATGGTTTCTTTAAACTGTGAACACTAAGTAATTTTCTTTGAAGGGTAAACTATGTTGTGTAACAGAACTATCAGAACTTGCAAAGTATATATAAGAATCAATTACCTCAGTGCATCATTCAAATTATAAAATTTGAGACAAATGTGGTGATCCAGATATTAAATGTACTCTTACCACCAAAAGTAGTGACTTGAATTTTTTTTGTGATGCAGAAAGTTCCATATATTTTTCTTTAACTGTAAACTTAAGATTCAGAATTTGTTTTTTAACTGTAACTTCTTGCATAAATGGTGTCTCCAAAACTTCTTTCAAATATAAACTTTTACTTGTGCTGGAACTTATGAACCAACATATCCTTTAGATGTAAACTTTGTGCCAAAATTAGTGACCACATTTCCAAATTATGATGGAACTTGAAGTTAAAAAGTTTGTATTGGAGCTAATGACATGAAATATTCTTAAGACTTTTGAAAAGTTGTGCTGAAATCATTTGAATAATATGGAAAAACTGTAATGGCACAAATGGCCTAAATAATTCCTATAATTTGGAAAGTTTATGTTGTAAGAAGTGATCTGAATAGCTTTGCAGAAGAACTACTGACGTGAAAATATTTCATTAATTGGGAAATCTATACTGAAACTAGTGATTACAATAGTTATCTCAACTAGTGAACATTTTCAATAATTCAAAAAGTGTATGTTAATATTAGATGGCAATAGTATTTTCTTAAACTACAAAATTTAGCTTGAAATTAAACATCACTATTTCCATCAGCCTAGGAACTTTACATTTTAATTTGTGATCTGATCTAAAAAACTGTAAATTTTGGATAAGAATCAATGTCACATACAATTCCATCAAAATTGGAAGTTTTTGTTGGCATAAGGGATCACAGTTCTTAACCAATTCATGTATTGAAACTCATACTTAGAGAAGATTTGATAAAACATTCATCAATTTCTATTACCTTCAAGTCTGCAAAATTACCAAAAAGTCTGTTATAAGAACATTCTTCATATTAAAAGATAAAACATTACTATTATAGATATTTACCCCTTTTTCATCTGTTGGATTGGTAAACATGAAGTCAAAAATAGCATCCATGTTCGACATTTTCATAGCAGCCCTGAAGGAAAACAAGGGAAAACTAAGTTCAAGCACTGAATATCTTCTGAACACGATAAATATTAAAAAGATATTGAATGTTTTGATAATAAAACTGAACTCCTCCACTGCACTGAAATATCTGATGAGGGTCCATTATCCAAAATTTAATTGTTTTTGTTTGTGGAATTTTGCACAAAGCTGTGTAAGTCATCCCCAACTTTTTTAGCAACATAATCCACTGTCAATTTCTGAGCTACTCCAATGAAATAGTGCAACTTAAATGCCACTCTTATAATGCATCCTCGGCACCAAAATATGGAGAGTTTTTTTTTATCTTTCTTTCTTTCAATAACAGGATGCAAACCAAAGAACTTCAGATCCACAGTCTGACATATTAACCATGGGCCCAAGCTTGGCCTCCAAAATCCAATACCCAGAATTCAATAGACATTGGTAAAGCATGCAACAGTAAATATACACATGTGTGTCTTAACTCTATGCATACAGCTGGACCAAAGTGTGCATATTATGACCTGTTGCAAAATCAATTTCAACAAATTTATTATCAGTGAATGTTAATAAACTTGGCAAGAAAAAATATATTTTATAAATCCAATTTTCTAAGTTTCAGTTTCTTAATTTCAAAAAGATATATTTAAAAACTTCTTAATCTTCACTTGTCATGTGATGTGTATGTGTTCTGAAATCTCACCTTTAAATTTTTCATATCTCCAATAATACAGTTTTCAGTGTCCAACTGTTTAGAAACACAAACTATATATAATTACAAGAAAAATATAATATTTGAAACCTCCTACCTTTTGAATTACTGAGATATCAATAAGTTTGATATGTATATGTATATCATCTCTATGCACCAACATAAAAAGCAGATTCTCTTCTATATAAGCTTATTAAAGTTTCTGTTCTGTCAGTCATATGTACACAGGTGGCCTTCGACTCTTTGTCTGTGACTATTGTTGTACAACTCTGAGCAGTGAACTAAATTTTTCTAATCTTTGAAAGCTACATAAATTACAGTAGTTTTGGGACATTCCATTCCAGTGACTATGCTTATTGTTTATCAAAATATATATTTCTAAACTAAATTAATTCTTTTTTGACACCTAAATTTGATAGATTCTGTTAGGCTTACCAAGAATGTCTACTCGAGTGCAAAAACTGCCTTGATTTTGTGTGAATACTTAACAGTTTTTTGAAATTTTTTACTATTGTTATATATGTTTTAACAAAAATACTAGAATGTAAAAA